CTTAGCATGATTTGAGTCTCAGTGAGTCCTTTGTTGCTACATGTCCTAAATCTAAATGTTGTACTTTTGTACCATCCTTCTCTGCTTTCCCAAACCAGCTTATTGTGCACAGCTGGCCTGCCCACCTCTCTATTAATTTTGTGCCTCTCATAAACAATATTGTGAACATTCATTAACCACTTTTCCAAATCTGTGACCATAATGTTTTTGTTTTTTTAATTGCCAGTGATCATTTATCGTACTGTTTCTCTCCTCTGTGAAATAAACACCGTCCATGTGGCTCTTTTGGTCTGTGGCAAATTTCATCTTGTTTCTGTTTTTTCCCACATTAATGTTACAGTTCCACCTGTTGTTAAAGTGTTGTATTTGTGCCTGAAACACAGTTATGGTGAACTTTTTGATGTTTAATGTTCCTACTGTGAGAAGCCGCTGTTTACCGATACAGGTCATTCAGACCTGTCAAAGATCAGCTGATAATGAATTCACTGTCCCGGTTTGAAGCCGGAGTGCAGATTTCACTGCAGTGTGGATGAGTGAGAGTCCTCATTTTAATTCAGCTGGACAGCAGATGACTGGCAGTTTTCTTCTTCACTCAGGCGCGACACTGCCTCTTACTGATGGTCGTACGGCCAAATGTGGCTGATCATGAAAATTTCCCAAATTTCACCAAAAGTACTCACTTAAAAGTAGAATGTCTTTTATTTTATGTCTGCTTCAGTCAGCAGGTAACGAAGGTGTTACATGCAAGTTGCCATTGAAAGTCATCATTGTAACATTCACCAACGGCACCATTTCTGTCTGCAGAAGACATTGTATCTGAACAAAATGGTTAACAACTTCTTGTTTGCATTGCTCCTTTTATTTAGACAGAATTCTGTACACAGTGCCTTTGTTGAATAATGTTGGTCTACTTAAATGTGCAGATAGTTGAATACCATTCATACACTCGGAAATACTGACGGGATGATTTGTTATACTTTTGTTTTAGATTGTTCAAACTCTATTATACCTGTACTTTAACATCTATCCTACTAATGTATATTGGAACACACACAAGTATGTATGTATGTATTTAGATGATAAATGAAGTATTCTAACCTTATTCCTTTGTAACCTGGACCTCTTGAAGGTCATTCATTATTTTGGCCAGCAAATGTAGGATATGATACCTACATTTGCTTTATCTTATCAATGTAGTGGCAACCTCTGAGTAGCATTTGAGAGGAGAATGACCAAACATTATGCCTTAACTCCTGTCTTCATGTGAAACATGTCCATCTGTCAGAGATAAATGTAACTTCTATAAAATGATATTGTGAATATATTTCTCATGGTCTTGGATCCAGCATGGCATTTTAAGCATGTGTCCATGTTATTCTGCGTTGTGTTCCACCCTCTAAATAAATGTTTTACCACTTACTGTTGACCTCACTGTCTCAGTTAAATTAGGAGGGTTTCATCTCACACTCAGTGCCATCTGCTGTATTAGTGACGCCTAGGGGGGAAAAAAGAAAAGTTGAGATAAAGGATTTAGGATATTATTTAGATGAAAATTCATTAAAAGTGCAACACAATTACTATTATTGTTAACTTACAAGGTGTGACTGAATATTGAGATTACACAGAAATTTAAGCTTCTATGCAAACTGTAAAATGTAGCTAAAGTTACGTCGAATCAGATTTTAACAGTATTGTGCCCAAACGTTTGTTTGTGAGGGACAGCCAATCATGTCATGTCTACTTTAAGTCAGTTAATGGGGAGTTATTTTATGCAATTGTTTTAAGAGACACTGCTTTTGTTATCTGTCATTTAAAAAGAAAAGGAAAAAAAAGCAGTCTGCGACAACAAAATATTTTTGGTGTTGGGACCTTACAATGCTGCCTGGCATTTTCCTTGACCTGTGTCAGTGTGTGTTGGTGGTAGTGGTGGGGCAGGTTACAAGTCTCTACAATTTTACGTAGTTTTCCAGGTCTAATCACATGATACATATAATTGTTGTGCAAATGGTCCTTACAGGATACATGGTCCTCATGTTTCTCAGTGGTCAGGTCCTTTTATACAGTAGGCTACTTGAACAAGCAAATACTCTTTAAAATAGATGGTTAAAGATAGAAGCTGTTTTCTGCTTGCCAGCCACTTACTCAACAAGCTTATCATTAACTGTTATAACTGTTTGTAGGTATTTTGCAACCCGCTGACATTAGTTTACTGACTTTGTTCACCACTCAGAATTCCTTCAGCTGCAAAAAATTAGAATTCTAATCTGTTATTTTTCTTCTTTATATCTATCCATAATCCGTTTTAACCCACTTCAAACTTTACCTCAACTTTTCTAGAGTCAGTCTCACGTCATCTTAAAACTCTTTGATATAATGAAGAGTTCATAATTAAATCAACTGACTGCAAGCATCAGACAGTCTGCTTTTGGACTACAGTTGCTGGGGCTGCCAGTCCGGGGCAAATGTGCAGTAGTTTTAAATCTAGACCATTTGTAAAGGATTTTCCCCACAGGGGGATCATTCATTTTAAATATATCATTTTATATAATTACCATTTGCCAGACTCATAGGCAACCACATCCTTTTCTCGGAAGGCTTAAGAAAGACTTAAGATCTCGGCACAATGACGCTACACATACCTCCATGTCTATCTCTAACTTCAGATCTTTACCACCTAATCTGGAAGCCCTGATTCTAACATCCTGAGGTGTGACAAATAAAGGTTTTATATTACCCATTTCTGTAGTTGCCTTTTCAAAAGGGATCTGATATTTATTTGTCCAAATGTCTGGTTAAAAAAAAAACTCCAGGGGATGTACTTCAAATCAAAGTACACAATGTAATAATAAAGACTGAATTCCTGCAAATTTGGACAAATGTGTAATTTTTATTTACATATCAAGCTCTGACTAAAATATCCTTCTCTAATGTACGATGCTGTTAGATTAACTATGATGCAAATGACCATGTACAACAGTGCCGAGATAGAGCTAGTTCAACCAATCATATACATTCAGGTCAAAGGAGCTTGCAAAGAAAAGCTTCTGGACTTCTTTAAGTTACTTGAAGACGTTTCACCTCTCATCCGAGAAGCTTCTTCAGTTCTAAGGTCAAATGGTGGAGAGTCCCAGATATAAACCTAGCGGGAGTATCCTCCCACAGAGGGACAAAAGGACCCCTGATGATCCTCTAATCGCCTGAGCCAAGGTGTGAAACTGGGTGTGGGTCCCAATCAGCCAGAGTTTCGGGTGAGTTCATTGTGAAACCTGGCCCCACCTTATCATGCGAATCCCTGAGATCATATACATTCAGGTACTTCACTTCTGTGGTTTCCAGTCTATGGGTCAGGCTGTAGGATTAAAAGGACTGTAGACAATTAATGGAAGAAGAAAGTAGATCAAAGCTCAGCAGCACACATTTTTATTCACTTCTGTAACTTTAATCTAAGAAGTCAAAAACTAGTGTGGCTGGGAAAATGATCTAATCTCCAACAGTGCATTAGATTTAAGCACCTTAATGCAAAACCCTTAATCTGAAGTTCCTCCAAATTGTTCTCCAGTACTTAAATAAATCTCCCATCTCACCTTCTGGTGCTTTAATATAACTGAACACACAAATGCTAAACTTGCCAGAATATTTCAGCATGTCACGCACTCAATAATCACAGGCCAAGAATCTTCAGAACCTTTTATAAGTAGTCAAACCCAAACAGAGCCCCGTTTGGAGTCCCACTTAGAAACCTTCAGTAATGTGACCACTGGCCAGATGTTTCATATCTCTGATGGAACTACCTTCTGTTCATAATAAAAATAAACCTGTGAATCAGAAAATCTCTCTATTATTTCCAAATTCCATCGCTGTTAATGCATTGCAATGCATTTACCATTGCATTGGGGATTGGCAAGGGGGGGGGGGGGGGGTTGTATCTTTACTTTACAAGTTTCTTTGAGCTAACATTTTAATAAAACTTCCAGCAAATTTCCTCCAATCATGTAAAGATTCAAAACCAAATTTGTGGCACAATAAAGGCATCCTTCCCTGTTGTGCTAATGAGTGCTGGGGAATAAAAAAAAGCTTATCTATGCATGCAAATGGAAAGTTGTAGAAGGAGTAGAAGCATTTCTACAGCAGATAAAGAGCTCAAGGCAAAGCAAACCCCAGATAGTAATACCTCCATCTTTATCTCACCTCTCACACACCCCGCCAGATCCCACACCCTAACTAGGGAGTGTTTTACCATGGCAACTGTCACGTTCCACCTAACGTGCTCCCAGGGTTCATACACGGCATGCACGTAGTTACTGAATTGAATGATTAGATTTGGTTCAAAATATTAGGTATTCCCTCTGTAGGTACACATTGAGCTATGATAAATGAACCCGCCCTTAAAATAGGGGGTGAATAGTGTTTTTCTATATGAATAACTTGGTTTTGGAACTAGTGCTTTCATCAGTGCTGCTTGAGGAGTCCCTACACCTGAAAAAGATGTGGTGTACATTATGTATTCCTGCATACATCCTGCACTACATGACTCCCACCAGAGTCATTTACAGCTTAACAAGCTTTTGCACCAATTTTGAACTTGGAATTCAACGAGTTTCTACACGAGGAGCAAGAGACAGCTAAACCCCCCAGGAAGACTAATTTTCTCCTGAAAAACAGTCTGTTTTGAAGGGATGCAGACAAACTGTCAGGGATTAAAGACAAACCACAGCAGGCAACCCGCTCGATCACAGTCCAGCCATAATTTGACACTGTGAATTTGATGTTCGGCATGTATGTGGCATATCTAATAAAAAATTACATCTCAGCTCTCCATATCCCGCAATCTAGCTAAGCGTGAGAAAGAGGAATAGAGCCCGTTTAATAAGTCAGATAACATGACATCAGCTGACATATCGTGGCATTAAATTCCAAACCATTGCACATAAATCCAAAGTATATGAGATTCAGAGGATTGTAGAGATGGCGAGCATTCGATTTATTACTATGCGGCGAGATAAAGTTCCGAGCTTTTTTTTATTTATTTATTTTAATAAATGACAGGAGATACCTTGCATTGGCTGACTGCTTGAATTCTTGCAATTAGCCATGTGTGACAGAGAAAGGTCAAAACTAACAATTAACATTGGTGAGATGGAGGAACATTTGGGAAAATGAGAAACATGTAGTTCTTCTAAAAGTCCTTAAATTGATGAAGTATATAATTGAAAGTTTATACTGCTTAGCGAGAAAGAAAAAGGAGCCTAACTTTTGCAATGTTGCAGTTCATCATATTAGAATATAATTACACTTGTCTTTTGATTCTGGGGGTGAAGAATGTCTAGACCCATCATTGTATGACTGGGCTGCACAGCTTAAGTCTATTATACCTTTATTTTTTTTAAATTTCATGTGCAATCTTAAGATCAAAAACGACCTCTCCCCACATATTTAGACACAGTGAAAAGGCCGCAAATGCAGTGAAGGCAGAAAATATTTTAAAAACCAGGACTCTTTGTCTCAAAGCGGGTAAACAATTTTCTTACCACAGGAAAAAACGCAGCTAAATTTAAACTTTAGCATTTCCAAAGTACTTAAAATGAGTCAAGATGTCCTTCAAAGAACTGAATCGAAAGCATGGGATATCCAAGTTAGAAGATCTTAAAGCAGTTTTTCAAACAGTCATCATAAAGTTTTATACATCTGGATGTAATAAAACAAATGGTGTGGTCTTTAGCAAATCTGAAAATGACTAAGATTCAACCTCGGCTGAATTACAAAACACGACAGAAGCAATTGTTGCTGCTCATCAATCTTTTTTAACCTTTCCAAAGAATTTGAAGTCCATCATTCTACAGTGAGAAAGATTATTCATAAGTGGGGAAAAAATTAAAGGCAGTTTTCACAGGTGTGGACGTCCCAGCAAGGTCACCACCAATCGCAGGCGTTGTTTTAGAATCTGCTCACTAGAACATTTTGAAACTGAAATGTCAGCAGAAGATTGGATGCCTACTTGTGTCAGAGTTCATACCGCAGACTGACATACCTGGGTAAAGTGAACATATGCTCCTGCCAAATGATATGTGCACTAAATGAGACTACTGCTTTTGCAGTGCAGGACATTTTGGCAAGAGGTCAGAGCAACATGTGAAAATTATTTTAAAAGAAATTCCCCTGGACCCAAACCTTTGTGCGCGGCTTATCCAGCCTTTTGTATGTGTAACTGTGAAGAAAAATGAACCCACTGCATTAAACACCAAAAACCTAAATGCATTATTTGGGGACAATAAAATCCCTAATCCCATTGGACAAGACAATGAATGGCAAATGAAAGAATAACATATATTCTGAATAACAAATCAAAAATATTCAAGGAATATTTTTTGAAATATGTGAAAGATTTGGCAGAAAATTAGCCATAAAAGCTGTTGTAGACGATAATCAGTTTTTTCCTTCAACAAACACTTGAATATATGTCGCGTGCATTATTCCCCTACTGTATGTTTTTAAAAGAAAAATAGTATTTGTGTGTGTTTTGAGTCCAGCTGGGTGTAGAAAGGGTGTGGGCCATCACTTGACAGAGGCAATCAGGTTGGACAGAGATAAGAAGAAAAAAAAAGTACAGTCTGGTCCACCCCAGATGTCATCACAGTATGTTAATGAGCCAGAGTGGGGCCTTTAAGTGCTGGAACCCAACACAGGGACCAGTAAGGAGACCAGACGATGACACACACTGAAGGCAAAGAGGCGAGTATGTGACAGAGATGTGGTAACTGAGGATCCCTTTCTTTTAATTTAAATACAAAACAGATTTCATATTACAAACATTTAAACATTTTAATTGGTTGTTCTACTCTAACAGTTATCCTCCTTGTTCTTGCAGATTACAAACTACAGGGACTCCCTGCTCATGGTTCTGTCTTGTGCCCTGGACAGGATATCATCTTATACTGTAAGTTTAAAAAAGAGACACTACAGTATAGATGATGTACTATCCAGGGTTTCATTCCCCCTCCGCTGCTATCAGCACACCAACACTGTAACTGAGCCTGAACACTCTGAGGGAGGCTGTCAAACCGTTACCATTACTGAGTTTTAGTAATGGTAAGGGTTCTACAGCCTTCTCTCAATGTCATCTAGACCGGGAGGTGTCACTCACAAGCTCCTGGCGGGTATTTCCTTTTGTTTTTTTGTTTTTTTTTAAATAGGTGCATATGAAATAAAGCAGATGGTTCTTAAATAAGCTTCTCATTGTTTTTTGTTCATCTCGGTGCAGCATATCAGCACTTTAAACTGATTGTGTTTGAGGGATTGCTTTCCTTCCCTGGCCGACGTACATCGGTTTAAATATTTCCCAACTGCTGTCGGCTTGTCAAAGTGGCGATCTCTGCTGTGCAACGGGCTTGTCTAATCACTGGGAAGCAGCCGTTTTTGAGAGTAGGGGGAGCTTGAGGGGCTGACACAGCTTCTGAGAGACATTCGAGGCCTCTCCCTCCCTCCCCTGCTTAAGGCCACTAGCTGGTTATTCATCAAGATGCCCCGAATAGAGTAACCGTCAAGTTAACTCACAGGCAGCAGGAATGAATCTAATCACCATTATCTGACCCATTTTAGCATCAGGTTAGTGCTCCATTTTGCCATCCATTAGGGAGACAATTCAGCCCTCAGGGGCAAAGCTGGGCTTTATAAGAGCCAAAAAAGCAGAAGGAGGGAGAAGTGGGAAGCAGAGAAGGGAGGTGAGAGGGGGGGAGAAAAAGGAAGAAAGAAGCAGAACAAAAAAGTGATAGTTGCAGGGATGGATGGCCACACTTCAAAGGCAGTGGAGGAGGCTAAAGTGATGTGGGAGTGGAGGGAACAGGGTTGGATGGTACATCAGGGACATTTGAGTGAACATGACTGCGCAGGTCCCGCTTCAGTTTATCTACAGCCCGTGTTTGCACGAGGCGCCCGCCAAGTAAAAAGCTCTGAGAGCCAAAGATAAACCATCGGCTTTTTCACAGCTCGCCAAACCTGCTCAGCCATGAGCACACTGTCAAACTTGTGTCAAAACACTCATTTGATGGGAGTCTATGTCATGTTTGTTACTGAAAATATATCACTGCTTAATAACAATAATAATAAAAAAATAATAATAATTCGGGTGGGGGTGGGGGCTCTTGTGGCTTGTGGAAGCTGCATTTAATCAACACTTTGGTTTTTTGCAGAAAAACCAAGGTGCTCTTTGCACTTCAACATCAATCTATGAACTGCATTCTGTAACATCTCTATGTAAAAGCTTTAATAATGCACGGGATGAATGGAGGCTGCAAAAGTCACAATTTATAGTAGAATTCCTTTTCTTCAGAGAGGTGTCAGGTCAAAGGAGTTCTGGGTCTGAGAATATTTATATGTTAAGTTACAGCGCCATATCAAACTCATGATGAGAGGTCTGTCCTTTTCTCTTCCTATTGCAAGTCCTTCATCCATTTTCACTTTTTCAGCTTGACTGAGAGCTTCAACCTGACTTCCCTCAGGTATACTCTGCTCAGGTCCTCGCTCGCTTCTTGTGCGATCCGCGCTACCATCTGTCCAGCTGTGCCGATCACCATCCTCTACGCACACAATAGAAACAGAAACATCAGCATCAGGCACCACTGAGCACATGAAAGGTTTTATTTCATTTACGGAAGAATAGTTTCCTTCAGGAAAAGTTTAGACGAGCATCATAACCTCAGCGTCATATCAAAACTGCAGGAAAATGAACTTGTCAAAGATGAAACATTTGTGATTCAAGATGCTGATTATTCATATCTTTATATCGTTACCTCATTTGATTAAAACCTCTATAAATCAGTCAGTGTCCTTTATATCTCTGGTCTTTGGTTTCACCCATGTATGGTTGCATGCATGGGTAAAAAGTAGCTTTGTGTCAGGAAAAACACTAAATTCAGTGTTTATTGGTCAGTTACTGATTCGAGTTCTACCTCTACATTTCTTGAATCATTCCTGTGTGACATGCAAACTGTGAAGAACAGCGATGATCTTCATAACTTTTCTTGGAGGTCACCGACCTTGAAACATTTTCAGCACAACAGACGTAGCTTCAAATATTCCCTGTCATTAAAAATGCATGGCTTAGAAAGGCTGCTCTAATATTTATGAGTTAAAAACACAAGGAAAAAGAATTTTTGGAGATACGTGGCAAACAAATACCAGAAGCCATCAGAGAGGCTACAGGTGTCAGTAAGAGAGGTAAAGATTTCACTTCTTTCAGCCCAGCATGCACTGACACTTCAGAATGGCAGCCTATCATTAAATTACATGTCCACACACAGAAGTAGAAATAAAGAGTTGATCCTAGTAGTGGGCAGCACGACTGCAATCACCCCTTTGACCCAAAGTTGGATAAAGTGTTAAGAAAACAGATGGATGGCTGTCCTGGCTATGTGATTATATGGATACTGCAGTAGATGTGGTCACACCACTGAACACAAAAGTACTTTCAAGGAATTGACTTCCCATCAATACTCAAAATATGCAACTCTTGCTAAAGCATGCGGAAGTAATTAAAAGTTATTTACACAGCGCCAAATCCCAACATCAGTTGCCTCAAGGTGCTTTATATTGTAAGGTAGACCCTACAATAACGCATACAGAGGAAAACCCAACAATCATTTGAGCCCCTATGAGCAAGCACTGTGGCGAAAGTGGGAAGAAAAAACTCTGTTAACAGGAAGAAACCTCAAAGCATGCAAACTGGATTCAACACTTTGACTAAACCACTCCAAAACCTTCATTTTTCTTTTGCTTTTTGAGACATTTAGAGGTGAACTATGGCAAGTTATCCAGCTGCTGAAGCAGAAAAGTGGCCCCAGACGCATCACACTACCACCAGCATGTTTGATTGTTGGTGTGAGGTTCTTTTTATGAAATACTGTACTAGTTTTACACTAGATGTTTCTGGGAATAAAAAAAAAAATAGTGATTTCAAACAACTACATGGACATACAGCACGTTTACGGCTGTCTCATTTGGTATGCAGGCCAAGTACAGCACTTCACTAACACAGATGCACGTGATAAAAGCCCAATAAAGGGTAAGAATGCTTACCATGTGGGTTTCTTTCTTTGTGTAAAGTTTCACAGAAATATCCAGCACTCCATCTTCTCCATCTTGCCAGAGTTCAACAGACTAAAAAATAGAGACATTTTGATCTTAGAAATGTATTCTTCACACATTAGGCAAATAAAGTTTTTAAAAATGGCAGCAGAGTCAAAGCAAGAGCAGATAATATATTCTGTGCGGAGAGAAACTCATGTCGCATAACTCCAAGAGCTGCTAATAACTAATCAAGCCCACAGTACGCCTTTGACATGGTTGTGTGATTCTGTAATGACAGATTTTATAATGGTGTATTCAAAAATGACCCTTGGGCTTCTTTAGAAGCAGCAACAAACAGCTGCATCAAGCACATGTCAACATGTAGAATGGAGGCAAGTATGAAGCCCTTTAAATAGGCTTTAATCAGTGCAGCCAGATGTGACGAGTGCAGTTTGCTGTCAGCTTACGGTCACATGTGACTTCAGAGAGTTCACTGGTTCATTAGTCACCTGTGTCATTGAATAGGGCACTTCCTGGGGCAGATACTCCAGAAGCTTCTCTCTGATGATGTTAGTGCAGACCTCCTCTGGACTTTGGTCAGTCAGGACTTCACTGTGATATTGCCATGATCCTGGCTTGGCAGCAACCATGAAGTAGCTCTTTAAGAACAGAAAAACAGAACACAGTTATACCACATGAACATTACAGTGTATCTTGATGTGGTCATATAACATTTACCTTCAGAGTGTCCACGTCCTCTCTGTCCACTGACGACAGCATGAACACGTCCTTGAAGTGAGGCCAGCCCTGCTGGTTTCTCAGTGTCTTCAGCTGTTCTTTGCTCAGCGCAGAGGTCGGCTCACTCCCATCTTCGGGTTCTGCGTTTTCCTCACCCTCTGAAGCCCTTTCTGATCTTTTCTCTGCCCACGGGGGCTTGATCACTGGCCTGATCCGCATTTTGCGTCCATTCACCACTCCACACGTCAACTGAGCCGTGATATCCAGCAGTCTATCTTTAGCCTTCATGAGGTCCACCTTAAAATAAAATAAAATATGCAAACATTATCGCCTTTTCATGCAGGAACTATTTTCTTTATACCATCACGGTGATGGAAACTGTAAAGGCAGCCACATGCACACTTGCTCTGTTTGGCAGTTGTAGCTCTGTAGAAAGAAAGTAGTAGTTCCTACATCCAACTCCGGCAACACTTGAAAAGTCAATTAAAACCTTTAATTCTTGCAGTAAGAGAGCGTTTTATCGATTGTTTAATTAAGCAATCGGGTAAAAATACTTTAAATACTCAAAAGAGAAAAACATAGCTCTTTTAAAATGAACTGCTCATTGGTTTCTATTTTAGACTGAAGTGTTTTAAGACTTGCATACAGTATCTATAAAAAAGTAAAGCATTTATGTATTTACCTGCCATATTAAAAACAATGTTAGATGCAAAAATAAATAATCATAACTACAGTAATGTCAAATAAAATTAGGTATAGATGAAAGCTCACTCTTTCTTCTTAGAAGGCTTACTTACACAAGCAGGAGGTAAACAGTTGACAGTTTTTGTGTGTGCATATATTATATATTATATAATCTGCAAAACAGTGTTACTAAAGTCTTGAAATAAATATGGTCTCGTACACCCCATGCCCCCCTTTAGACTCACCCCTGCTTATGTGCACTAACTTCTGTAGCTTTGCTTCAGATATTCTCTGTGTAAAACAATCAGCGGTGGATGAGAGCAGCTACAAAGCTCGCTTTTCTTCACATTGGAGCTTGTTGAACAGGCGGTTTGGTTAAGGACTCAAGCCAGCTTTTTCCCAGTAAAGGACTTTATGGCAATTACAGTAACAAGCGCTGCTATTCTGTACACTAGAAAACACTTTTCTTTCACTCCACCTGAGCTCACGGTCTCCGTAACAGCTCCACCTCTTTGCTCTAACTGAGCGCTACAGAGTCGTGGATTACACAAAGCACCAAACAAAAAACTTTGCATTGAGGATTTTCTATTATCGAGTGATTTGAATTAATCAATCACTGCAGTGGAATTCACTGCAATGAATCCCATATTATTCCTTACTGTGGACAAACCTAATGAAAGGAACAAAGCTGTAACATAAACACGTATTGGCAGCAACATTGTACTTAATGACCTTTCCCTGCTGCTGTAAATTCTCATATTTCCTTTTTTTAATCATCCTGTGGGGTTTGGGATGGAAGGCCACTGACATGATTCTGAAACTAGAAGCTACTGTGAGATGAACTGATTTTGGGCTCTTTATTTGGTTTGGTGACAGTGACACAAACACTGAATGATGCCAGCTTTAGCTTTTAGCTTCAATAATAATAATGAATTAGGATGTTATAGGCAAAAAAGTGCTTCTTGTAAAGTGTACAGTACATTAACTGCTACTATCCCTGCAAATACTGCTTGTTTTAAATAGTTATAAACAAGCATGTAAGGAGGTATAACTACAGTTATTACTAAGTACTTGTCAAGAGGTTACAATATGAGGCATTCATACAAGAGAAAGGCTAGACTACATTACTACATAAGCTTTTATCAATCAGATTTCTTCCTGCCTTGTAGTTTCTGCTTTTATGAATCATGCGAAACATGCACATTTTACTCCAGCAAAAAGTACCTTATTCAGGACTAGAACTGCAGGAATATCCGGGTGCTGGGCCAGGCATTTCAGCACCTCAAAGTCGAGCCTGCTGCACATCCATTTGTCTGCCACATCCACCATGACTACCACTGGAAATGCAATTATAAGCATTTAAAAGGGAGCACTGCGCACCACTGTTCACATTAGATCAGCACAAAGAATAATAATAAAAAAATAGAGACTGCTCAATTGCGGTTAATAAATGACCCAGAGTGAATATATCATACTTAGCTCAGCTTCTTTGACCGTGTTCCAGGGATCCACAAGCAAAGACTTCTCCAGCTGGTGTCTTTGAAGACAGAATTTATTCATGTATTACACAGCAGAATAAAACCAGAGGGAGACAGACTTGAGTAATATCTAAATGGGAAAAGCACCTTTTGACCTTTGATGGAGTAGTAAGACCAGGAGTATCAAGCAAGATCTACAAAAAACAAACAATTTATTGACAAAGGCATATAACTTCTGAGCAACATTCCTGGATTAAAACAGAAAGGAAGCGAAAAGGTTCGTACTATCTGTGTGTCTTCCTCTGTTAGGACGCCCAGTGCACGTGACCGTGTAGTGTGTACTTTCTTGGACACAGCAAACACCTTTAAGACAAGATTACAGATTTTAGAAGGTGAGCAATAAGACAAATATTTAACAGAGTAAAGATTTTTTTAAAAACAAAAACAAAAACCTTTCTGCCAAGGAGCTGATTGGACAATGTGGATTTCCCAGCATTTGGGGCACCTATTATAGCCACTTTCAAAACCTTTGAGTTTTCAGGTTGATCTGGATGTTTCGTTAACAGAGACAACTGTTCACCTAAAAAGACACAACACTAAACATTAGACAGACCATAAACACGACAGAAGGATGACATGTGCAATTTTTGGGAAAAGGCTGAGTTGGAATGATCAGGCAAATTTAGAGATGTAAATCTCTGAGGCAGTGGTCTGGTTACCGCTGTCTGGCGGAACTGAGGCTGGAAGGCGATAAATGTTGCCGTCTGCCTCTGCTGCTTTGCCTTTCATCAGTCTGCTGAGAAATGCCTCTGATGTAATAAAACAAGCAGGAGTGAAGATAAATCCGTTCCCCCCTCCACGGCTGCAGGCAGCATTTCCTGTAAAGACATCAAAATCTCCATCACTTCACTGCCAGCTGGCCCGCAAGCTGACTGACTGATTATTCTTACTGGGATGTTAATAGGACACAGAATAGTGACGCATTCAGATTTTCTTTGTCCAAACCCTCTCCTGCCCTGCCGCAGCTTTTGAAAGTCGTTTTGGATAACAAGCACTTTTATGGAGAAATGTGTTAACAAGCAATTTGTTGTTACTTTTGCAGAGAATTTTGAGCCTTAGTGGAGGTATAAAGTGTCAGGCTGCTCCTGTTAGCACTGTGCAGGAGAGAAATGATTCACTTCATCTAGCAAATATAAATGTAATCAATTTATGATTTAAACTACTTTTAAAATCAGCTTTCCAAAAGTTTAATAAGAAAGGACTTTAATAGTAAGAGGAGGGGGGGATTCCTCCTTGAGCTGGACCAAAATCAACAGGATCATCTTCCAGAAACTCACTGCTCTACTCTCACTACATGAGGCCGGGCACTAGGGCAGTAGGGTCTGACAATGTCCGAGGATTTCATCCCGATACCTAATGGCAATCATGGTGCTGTTGCCTAGCCTGTAGAGGTCTTTGTGTCCCTCCATCAATATGGATCCCCAGACCATCACTGACCCAGTACGAAACCGGTTATACTGAACGATGTTACAGGCAGCATAACGTTCTCCACGGCTTCTCCAGACTCTGTCACATATGGTCAGGGTGAATCTGCTCTCATCTCTAAAAAGCAAAGGGCATCAGTGATGACCTGCCAATTCTGGTATTCTGATGGCAAAATCCAATCAGGATCAACATCATAGGGACCAGAGGATGTCAGTACTCAGGCCACCTTATGTAGTCTGTTTTTGATTGTGTGGTCAGAGACACTCACACCAGCAGGCTGTAGGAGGTCATTCTGGCGAAGCTCATCCTGTTCCTCCTTACACAAATGGAGCAGATGCCGATCCTGGTGATCGCTTATGGACCTTCTACAGCCCTGTCCAGTTCTCCTAGAGTAGTGGTTCCCCCCCCCTGCACAAACACATACTCCAACCACACACACCCATATTTTGTTTTCAAACTCCATTGCAGTTTATTTCACACCTCAAACATTTAGTAAACAATTAAGCAAATACAAGTAATCTGCAATAAATTACAGGTAGTAATAAAATACACTACTAACTCTTTTACACTACGTCCACACCTGCATGGGTATTTTCAAAGAACGCAGCTGTTTCTGTGCGTTTGGGCCTTTCGTCAACACGTAAACGGTGTTTCGAATCACAGAAAACTGAGATTTTTTAAAACTCTTTTGCGAGGAATACAGAGTTCATCGCGCAACGTCAAAGGTATGTGCCTTTTTTCACATCACGCTGTGTGCCACTGCCACGTTATTGTTTACATGAGATGAATTGCAGAATGGCAGATAGAGACAAAATACTGTTAATCTGACTATCTGCAGGTTTTACACGCTTACATACACACACGCAGTTACTGTCCCTCCATTTAGAAAGGCAGAGAGGTCATGGTGTAATTATTTTACGTGTAGTTTTTTTTTCCTGTGTAATAATATTCAACATTGCTATCAACACATTTTTCAAAAAATGCCTCTCTGTGACAAAATGGGTTCAAAAACAAAAACAACTGTGGGATACTGTTTGTCTGTGATTTGGACAGGGGAACAAATTGTGGCCAGATCAGCCTGATATTATTTCTATCCCACTGTAATTTTACTCTATAAAGAGCTAACATCTCCAAAATGTCAGGAGTAGTTAGTCAAGAAGTGTTTGTGAACTAAAAATCGAGAATGTGGGATACTGTTTGTCCAAACCAATTCTGCAGGGGATACCTTACCTTGGCACTTGTTCAGGTGAAGCCAAAGGAAAGATATGCTTCAACATATTTTCTAGTCTTTGGCTTGGAAGGAAGTTGGTTTGGAAACATATTTGGCGATGCTTAATCTCCTGTTTTGCGTTTGTGTGAGAGCCCCGTCAAAAGCCTGTCCATTATGCTAGCAGTGTCCAAGAGTTCTTTTTTCTTTTGTTTTTTTCTTTCATACCACCCCTGCAATGGCTCTGCGCCCCCCACCCCTCCCCCCTTTGGGAACCTCTGTCCTAGAGTAACTGGTTTTCTCCTGGACTTTCCTCTACACTCTTAAGACGGATTAACAGCCCCTCTACTACCTAACTACAAAGATCAATATCTCAGAAGTTTAACTGACTTGATGGTGTATTCAAAAAAATAAAAATCAGAATTGGTTGGGTCTGGGATGCGAACAGTCTACGTAATTCAAAGTAAATTTTACAAAATGTATCAATTAAAAAAAAAAAAGACAGTGTAAACCAATCAGTGTGAAACAAATACACACTGTCAACTGAGTCTATGCGACACAGTTGACTGCCAGCTGGTTATATTCCTATAGAAGAGGACGGTTGCTCAGCACAAATATATTACAGGGTGTATCAGAAAGAGTCATCCACTTACAAAGCGCTTTAACCTTACAGCTATTTACTGGTAATGATCTAAACATGTACCTTTAGAAAAAAGGGATTCAAGAGTTTTTGTGAGTGCTTGCCGGTAGGTAACAACAGGTAACAACAACAGCAGCTCCAGACACGCTTTCTTGTATGTTATTACTAACTTGACCCCAATCAATTGCAGACTGATGCCAGACTGACTCAGTCTTACAACAACATGGCAGGTTTTAATGACGTGTTGGAGAACGTCTCATTTTTCAGTCAAAAAACATCTGTAGTGAGAAAAGTGTCTGTGAAGGTTCTCAAAGCCACCTCCATAGGACAAGACTCAGCTGTCCATCTGCATCTTAAAGATAAAGGACACTCTTTCAAGGATGCCAATGTTCACATTTTGGACAGAGAGGACAGATGGTTTGAAAGAGGAGTGAAAGAAGCCATTTATGTCCACTGTGAGCGACCATCTTTGAACAGAGGCGGTGGTTTACGACACCAACTGTCTGCCATCTATAATCCAGTTTTGAGTTCTCAGCATGTAAGAAAACCCAGGTAAAGCATTGAGATAATATCATATCGATAACAGTAGCTCATCTTTTCCGCCTCAAATTATCAGCCATATTTTCTGTCTGTTCACGGTCCTTTACACGGCGTCTATACAGTTAATCAAAGCAGCAATGACATCTTCATCCATGTACATGTCATTATACTGTCTATGGTATTAGCATTCATTCATTCATTCATTCCGAGCTACAGGTGACATTTCACTTTTCCCCATTTGGTATTAACCCCGAGCCTCAAATATTTCTCCTTTCAAAAATGAACAAAATAAACGATAAGCAGAAAAATAATGTCTCCACTGACCCGCTGTCAGAAACCATGACGCACTTTCCTGTCGAGCAGACACGACGAGCCGCCTGGAGAGGACAGCCGAGTCTCTGAAAAAGCGACCACACACTCTGAGAGCCATCTTACTTTGACAAAACAACAGCTGCTGTGTTTTAGCTAATAAGACGTTGTTCGTATGCGAAGAACTGGATCACTTGTTTACATTCACATTGCCTGTAAGGTAAAACCATGTTGCTTTAACCAAAGAGAGGTATCTTCCGCTCTGGAGAGGGTCTGTATGAGTGTGCTTGTTAAAGCTACACTGCCCCTAGCGGCTGCAGGGTCAACTGCATCCCTGAACATCCTACTCGCATTCATCTGAAACGTTAAAGTCAGATAGCAAATTAATCACAACCCACTGATTAAACTGATTTTTTTTCAAGGCAAATAAAACTGAAATATTTATTGTTTGACAAGATTTACATCATAATATCCAACTACTCTCCTAATGACTCAGTAAAGACTGTACCAGTTGCGTACTCTTCACTGACTAAATCGAAAATGACAGTTCATGGTCTGAGTGACTGAAAATGATTGCATAAGAAGAGAAACAAGGAAACAAACAAATAAAGGCTGGGGAATGAGAAGAGAGATCATTGAGTTTGGAGGAACTATGCGATGGAGGAAATTATTCGAGTGGGCACAACTGTTCTCTAGGCCTTACTTCTACATAACAAAATAATATAACTGTTGTGTGTCATTTTGCAGCAAACCCTCTTTAACTCCCAGAAGTCCCCCGAGGCCCCAGCTTAGGAACCACCTGTCTACAGCAGGAAGGACAGAGACAAGCTGAAATCAGCCGACGGCAATCCCAAATCAGCTCATCACAATGCACAAACGCGTCTGCCAACATGAGCAACCTGCAGTTTGACAGACCTCAAAGGGACTTTTAGAAGAGGTGATATTCTCTAGATTACTTTGTGAGCAATGCTGCACCCACAACCGCAAATCAGATTGCACTGCTCAGACATTTTCTTTCCCTCTTGTCCCATGAGCGCACACAACAGAGCTGATCCCCAAGGGTGCTTGAAGCACAGTTTTGACAGTGTTGTTGAGGATATATTGAGCATGGGTCGCCTAAAGCAGCATACTAACCTGAAGAAAGCATGCATGCTGACAAACTCACTCACCTCCCCGTAAGATTTAAGCACTAATTCATGAGGATGAGCTGATATAATGGCCTGATAACCACAAAGTGCATGAGGTTAATAGTCGGACTAAAAGGACGCAGTTTGCGTGGTGATTGTTTACTGTAATACGTTGTTTTCAATATGCAAGGGAAAGCCAAGCAGAGCAGATGTCTCCCTGTAGTCCATCAAGCTCACCGGCTGTTTGTTAGTCCTGGAGGACTTGCTCGGGGTGGAACAAACACCTCCACTAGGGAGGATGATGAAGGATATCAGGTAGCTCACAATCTGTCATCATCTAACTCTAAAAGCTCAGCAGCAATGGAGGGGCAACAAAAATGGAGCTTTTAGCAGACACTTACTGCCAAATTCCAATTGAACCAGAAACCAAAAGGATATTTGAGGATCAGTAATGTTTGAACTTCCCCTCTATCTGCCTCTCTCTTTCTCTCTCTCAAATTCATTCAAGGCATTTTCTCCCTCCGGGCTTTCCTCACATGGCCACTTCACGTGGGAGTGTATCAGAGTCTTTCTATGACTGCATTAACTTTGGCCTTCAGAAAGAGCTCTCTCTCTCTCTCTCTAGAAAAAAAAGGAAAAAAAGACAAAAAGGCTTCACCTGCAGACCATTTAATCATAAGCTGTAGCCCACTTTGGTATGTGAAGTGCACTTGCCAATGAGATGCTGCACGGTGTGATGGAAAACCTCTCTGCTACAGCGATTCAGCATGCTGTTGATTCCTAATCAATCTTTATTTTCAGTAATTCAAAAGAACACACGGCACTGACGTTGAACGAGTCAGATCTCCCCGAATATGCAGAATTTTCTGCAGCCCGATGTGGAGATTTTCTCAAACTTCAATTTTTGATTTATTAATAACGCTAGCTGGAATTAGATGAGCAATAACTGGCAGTTTCTGCACTAATAAGGAGAGCTTGCTCAGCACGAGGAATAACAAAGAACTATAAGCACGAGCCACGGGGCATGTCAACAGGGAGCAGAGGTGGGGGAAAAACAATCTGTCAGTGCGTCAGAGCATCCATCACTCCATCACCGCTGATTGCAGTGAGAGGCGTGATGGGGCACAGCCGGCTGACTTTCTCTCAAACAGCCGCTCCTGAACTTTATCATGCTGAGAACTCCAACACAGATCGGCTATTTGCGAGGGATCCCACAGATTAATGAACGGATGGATGAATTTCCACATGTGAGAAATGAGATTCAACTGTTACATTTTATGTGACGCCCTGAAGGTCCCCCAAGGTCCCTCGATTCAGCAATCACTGCTCGAGACGTCCTTGCTCTGCCTGCTTTTTTTTTTTTGTTAAAGAGGTGATTTAGCTCCTAAACTACCCATATAGGTCACACTGATGCTCTGATTGTACAATCTCTCTCTCCGTGGGGGAGATAAAGTGGGGTGGAAAAAAAAAACTTTTATTCATTCCAGACTTGCAATCGATGGGACTTGTCTGTGAAGTGGATCAATAATGCCTCCCTTTGAAATCATCAATCACGTCAGTGGTGAATTTAAAAAGCGTAATTAGGAACAGCGTTCTTAAACATCCTGTATTGACGTCTTCTTTGGTATGGAGAAAGACACCATTCTGCATCATTAACTTTGTATTATTGCCTGATGAAGCCTGCTGCTGCTACTTCCCCACCTGCTGAACTCGGAGCGCTCTGTGTGATTGGGCTTTCAGACCAAATTCTCCCTTCTTTCACTTGCTGATGGGGGGAAGTGAAGCTTGCAGGCCTAAATTGGCTGAAGTATTGTAATAAGCCCGGTCCATACTGGAGCTCAGGCCGCGGCTTCACAAAGCTTTGTATCAGAAATGTTTACGGGACTGAGCACGTGTAATTTTCTCTGTAATAATCTTATCTGATTACTTTTGCGGAGGCTCCAACGTGACAAGACATTACATAGCCGTGAGCACACATTCTTAAGCTTCCACAACTGGCCACGGTCTTCAGTGTTGTCGGTCTGTCTCTCTCTTGTAATAAAAAATGGTATCAATACTGCAGAGAGGGCAGGTGGGCGATTGTAATGGAGTAATTTATTTTAGTTGTCACAGAAAAATAAGTCTTTGATTAGGGAGCTATACACATCAGGCTGCACAAATAGAACCTTTCATCAAATCACAAAGCATGTGACACTATTGACCAGGAGTCCTCTATCTGGGTTTTTATCTTCCCCAACAAGATTCATAATACAATATGTGAGCAGCACAATGAGGCAAAATGCAAGCAGAATATAGCATAATATAGGTCATGCTCAAGGCAAGTCATGTGCCATTCTTCCAGATGAGTAGGAAATTTTGGTCAGAGATGCGCACAAACAAGCTTAGAGGTAAATGAGCAATATTCAATATTCAAGGTTAGAATACTGATTATTGAAGTTAAATGGCAGGTCAAAACATCCTCACCTCAAGGCTGCTCACTCGTTTTCTTTTCGTGAAGTTTTCCGGATTATGCTTTAAATTCATAAATGAATTTCAAGACATCTAGGAGGGAATATACAGATGGGTGACTGAACTTTACTTGAGCTACATGTCCATAAATATGAAGCATAACACCTATACACCTTGTATATACCTATACATGTACTGACGTGAAAATATATACATTGATGAGTATGAAATCATGCCACAGTACTTAATGTCACTGGGTCTCAACCCTGACTGACAGCTGCTCTTCACAGCAATCCCTGAAAACATTTGTGCTGCCTTAAAAACATTTGATTCAGCTTTTAGTCTCCGTCATGTTCAGATGCTTACAGCATTGCAAACTAGAGACCTGTATCAGATTAAAGGGAAAAAATACCTTCAATACAATTTCAGTGGACTGATGCATTGTTTCACCGAGTTTCTGCACTCTCTCAAGCTTACATTTTATTCCACTCTGACACCTCTTTCATATACTGAGTTGCGTTAATGTTAACAGGTATGTGTTTAATTCTGTTTGATTTTGCTTTAGTGAATTTTAGATCATTTGCTTAATTATTGAATTGAATTATTACTTGTTTTTTTAATTTTGATTTGTACCCATTATACTTTATTGTATTTACTTTGCTTTTAGATTAGTTTGGACTTTACAGGGAATTTTGTTTGTTTTTGTTTATGTCGTATTTTATTTTGCCATACACTATTCTGATTATTTAAGCTATTTTGACATAGGTTGTGTTTAAGTTTTCCAACTGCTGTAACAAAAGAATTTCCAATTTTCTGTGATGAATAAATTATAAATCCAACTCCGATGAATGCTGTCTCATTTCACTCTGTACTGTACCACTGTACATGGTTGAAATGATAATAAAAGCCACTTGACTTGACTTGACTTGAATGCCATAGCACATGATTTACACCATTTTCACACTCCTGAAACCATTCAGTAAATGCGTGTACCCTTTAGATAGGAGCACTGTCATATATGTAAGTCCATAATATGTTTCATATCTTACCACAGCTGATGAAGCTGCTGTTATTTTGTCTACAAAGCTCGTTAACCAAATCTAATTAGACAGACGAAAAATAGACAGCTAAAGGCTAATATTTATTTACTGGCCTATATAGGAACTATTTTAATGTATTTCACTAATTTCACGTCTAAATATTCAGCCGTCCAATCGCGCTTCAAGTTCACTGTCCCTTTAAACCACTCGGGCGTCCTGCGCAGCGCACGGCGCAGTCTGGAACGGTCCCAGCTACAGCGCATGCGCCAGAAGTTGCTGCCGCAGACAGCAGCAACAGCAGTGATTCGGCAGCACAGGGCAACGGGAGAAAATCTGTCCGTTTTAAACCATGGCGACGTACTAAACGATGCCTTTCGCAGAGGTAAACGGAGAGTAAGTAGTTGTATCTTTATAACACGCCTGCTGTCCGACACCGTGTGACGTCCTCTGAGAGTGTGGCGTAAATATTAGGAAAGGTTGAGAAGGCAACAATGGGACTGTGTATGTTTCAGACTGGCTGGCTAGGTTAGCTAGCCAGGAGCCTGGGCAGTCAGCTGGCACGCTGACTGGTAACATACAGGTTTATAGCTACTGTACTGCTCTCCTGCATTGGCCCTGTATCTGCTGTAAAGCTCCCATCAAAGG